TCGCTGTGGGTACTTATGAGACGGGGTGTGACAGGACAGAAACCGCAGTCCCGAGAGGATGCGAAAACCGGGCTTAAAGTGAAATGCCACCGTACGGCCGAGGCATGGTAATAAGGGTACTTTTTCACAATCATACCTTAACTCGCCCAAAGTGTCCTTGCTTTCCTAACTTCTTATGCGGATAAGCTAACAAGTGTGCTGATGATGGTTGATTTAATTAAATGGAATATTTTGTGCTATTCCGGGAGCCTCGAACTAGTACGTGGAGAGGACAAATTGTGGCTGGTTGAAAAACTGCATAAGCCGGTCAGCTTGCCACGAATACATGCATGCCGGAGACGGTGTGGCTTGTTATCTCCTTTTTATTTTGCAGCCTCGATTTCCGTCTCTGTATTGGCCTAATTTCGGAACTTTTTATGGTCCACGGCTCCTCGTGCCGCGGAGGATTGCACTTGCCGCAGAGTCAAGCTCGCACCTCTCTTACGGCAGGAGCCCATTCGACCTGCACACGTAGATACATATATGTGAGCTATCCGATGGCCGCAATATCGCATGTATCCATCCTACAATCCTCTGGCGAGTGCCACCGCGAAGAAGACACCTGGACAAGAATCACTCGCTTACGAGGCACAGTCACCCTCACGCCATAGCTGGCCTGTTCCATTTACGGGAAGACGGTGCCTACAAAGCCCTCTCCAACCCAACACTGTCCGTTGGGATGTGTTGGAGACAAAACAACGGTTGCACTGACTACTCTGAAATGCCGCGATAGAGAACAGGACAAATCTGCCGATTCATTTGGCCAGCTGTGTAGATGTTTATTTCTTTTCTCCACCCCGAAATGAAGAGGACCGAGAATCGGTCAGTACATACACACACGCACACACACGCACGCACACACATACACGCACACAACGGTCAGAAGCTAAAATGAATGTATAGTTGTATTCATTCATAAAAACGATTTACCACTTATAGTTCTATCACCGCCACCGCCAAAGGTCTGCCAAAAAACAGATAGACCAGGCAAGTGAATGTAAACTATAATGAAGAAAAAGTAGCATCTTCTGTAAAAGAGCGAGTACAGGTCCGCAAGCGAATGTCTGTTTGTCACGAATGCGCCCTGAATTAACCGCTGGGCTCATCTGGTCTATAGTGTTGTGGGCGCAATAGAAGGACAATGAACCGACTGGAAGTATAGTGGCAATCCACGAAGGGATTCTCCGTTGGCCGACCGAGAAATCTGACCCATCCAATTGTCAGTGTTCATCTCAATTCATTCTGACTTTTGCCAGTAGACAGACAGTTCCACTCTTTCGCTCATCATCCACTTTTTTTAGTAAAACTGGACACAAGCATTAGGAGAAGAACATGGATAAAATGCATGTATGAGATGAATTCATCCTATTCCGTTTAGGGTGACAGGGTGACAAATAGTTGAATTTTTCTACTATGATATAAGTAGACCTTACGTTTCGACTGAATTTCACGTTTCCTTATCACCAAAACGAAATAGGATAAATACATATTATATGTAATCGCAGTTTCGAAAGCCTGCTTATTAAAGAAAATTACATAGCATCATCGATTGCTATTGCAAATACAACTTTGCTTCATTGACAATCCCACCACCGAATTATAAATTAAAAATGTCTGACCTTCCTTAAGATTAAAATATGCCAATGTGGCATAGTGTTTAAAGTGTTGAGACTATACACTGCAGTGCCATGGTTCGAGTCCCGCTGGGGGTTCTGATGAAACCAGTTTATGCGTGGTCGCAACTTCAGTTTACTGCTTCCTGGAGGAGAATAACTTTTTACAAAGCAAGGCTATGCGAGGCTCAATAGAAAGCTAAAGTCTACTCATAGCATTGTTCAAAAATTCAACTATCAGTCACCCTAAATGAAATAAATACGATCTACTGGTAGACTCGAAAGCCCACTTATATGCGGAAAATGTATGTGTTCTGCTAGTTCTGTGTCTTTCCTTCCTTAGATCAGCCAGGGTTTTAGTATAGTTTTCCACAGTTAAGTAGATAAAAAGCATTATAGTTTCACTGAAGCATCTCAGACTCGCCTACAAATTGAAATTCACATTCAGCCCCGACTGCATTTTCGATCTCGCCTGTCGCATCATCCACTGTAGATGGATTCTAAACCGGATTGCAGGCTAGGCGACGACATCATCACCTCGCCATACAGCCACATGTGCCTTCGGGTTACAGGGCAGATGCTACTTTCAAGGCAAGCCAGACTTTTAAGACTCCATATATTTTAGTTCACCTGTCACCATTAAGGCAGTTTGTATTTGCAATTTCAATCCCCTATATTACTATATACCAAATAAGTAGGTTTCACCACAATATTTTGCTCGTGATTAAGGGCCAGAGTCACCTTATTAGACTAAGGTGACGAGATTTGTTTAGGATTTACTGATTACTTCAAGACCCACTCATCATCATATCTTTTACTCATGTTCCAGGCAAGGCCGAATACACCGACAAGCAATCTAAAACATAAAGATAAGTCTTTTAGAAGTTCTAATGTACAGCGCGTATCGAAGCCTCCATTAAGCCAAAGGCTGAAATTAAAGAAGGCCATATTAACAGCGATTAAGCGGATGTTATCGCTTTGGTACAATTATGGGCCTATTAAAACCGGAGGCAAAGCAACCTAATGAAGCAGAGCCTCATTGGTCTAGACGTCATATCCTCATGGACTCAGGAAGTAGGCTTGGAAATTTATAAGTGATTTAAAAAGATCTAGACTATTTTAGGTGAATTTGAATAAACTTGCGTGACAACACACTTAATGGATACGAACATTATATTAAATATATTTTCAACTGCTCAAGGATAATGCTTTTATATTTCGAATTGTTCAGTAATGTACAGTAGTGATACTTTATTTAAAAGATAAAAAATGTTTTAAAAATGAGATATAGTCACCTTATTTCGTTTAAGATAATAAAAGATGGGCAGTTACATTTTCCAGCAAAATTTATATAGCCTTGCTTCCCAAAGAGTACTCTGATCGAGGATGGACTGCAGCTTCGACTACGAAACGCTTTATAACCGAAAATAAGATATATCTTTATTCGCTCCTTGTTATGGGTGCTGATAGTTTATCCGCTCGAGATGAATTAAGGAAAATTCCGGGTTATTCCGATTAATTTCCAGCCAACTTCTACCCCGAAAGTGCGTTTACGTCCATAGTGAACCAAGGTTCTAAGCTTAAAGAGCTACGGTGATAGGTTAGATTTGTTGTTGCTTCCTGCAGCCCAATGGCATCTAAATCCTAGATGCGATCATACATTGAGAATATGATGTACAGTTAGGGTCATTGGTAGAATCAAGCAAAATTCTCAATTCATTCTTAATTACCAATATTTCAGTCCCAATAATATTTTGATATCCATGCTTTATATATAAAATCAAAAATAATTCCAGGGATTCTATGTTGATAATTTACCCATGAGAGGTGTTCAAACCTCTGAAAATCTGTCTAACTTTTGTTATAGCATTATGCAACCTAAATCAAATACTATTTAGAGTGAGCATTATAAAAAAATGTTTGGGGATTCAAAATCAGACAAAAATTATCAAGGACTTAATGAAGATATGCATGAAATGAAAACCCCCTTAAGGCACTTATTTTCACTTGTACGACGAGTGTATATGACTAGAGAATAGTTTTATAGAATCCCGTCCATACGAATAGGGTTATGCTAATAGTATGTCGAGTCTGCAATAAACACAAATGCGATTATTTGCAATTGGGAAGACTTTGAATGAGGGCTTTATCATATGTCCCTAAATACGGAGAAGTATCGTCTTCGGATGGAGAAGTTTAACACATTATATGCTACCCATAGGCAGCAAGAAGTGTGCAAGCTAAATTTCGCTGCAGTACAATAAAGAAAAGAATATACTTTTTGAAATCTAGCCTTCCTGTTCTTCTAGAAGCTCTTCCGGACTATCTTTACATCGGGCATCTTCCATACACGTGAAATGGGAGGAATTTCCAAAAATTTTATATAAAGGATCATAAAACAAGCATTTATCCGAAGCCCCAAGTTACGCAGGATGGCATACTGAAACCGTCTCCTGGATAAAAAGAGGTGGTAAAACGGGATAAAAGCTATAATGGCGTAGAGACAAGGCAAAAGTTTGTCAATAAAATCTTTCCCTATCAATTGACAGGCTCGGCTTTTGATAATGAGGATGATGACACTTTTTTTACCCCGGATACTGCTTCTGCCAATTCTATTCAAAACTGCTGAACAAAATATTCTCGTAATGGTAAAGTCCGAGTGAGTGAAGAGATATGGAAAGCCCTGGCCTGTTTGAGCGTCTAAGTGCTGGCCAATGGGTGAAATTATTTAAGGAAAAGCGCCCATAGTCCAAATAGAAGTAAAGAAAGAACGAAAATTCGCAGAAATAGACATTACAAGAGAACGTGACCTAAACATATGTGAAGGCCAGAGCTCATGGGAACAAATAGTCCACCAGCATTCATGTCTGACGTTTCCCACGGATCTTTTCTACGGG